TGTGCGCGCGCGCGCGCTGGGTGGGTGGGGGGTGCTTTTCCTTTTTGAAGCTTTAAACAAATAGGAACATTTAACATGTTGACTGGCAGCCTCATTTCAGGTAGATGAACAGGTTAAACAGAATTACTCTCCTAAGAGGAGGACCACTGGCTTCCTTGTGGGGCAAGCAGTGCATAGAAGGCTTCCCTAAACCCCTCTTCAAAGATGGCAAGAAAGAGCTTGTCAGCTCAGGTTTACTTTAACAAATGCAAATTACCACTTTTTTCTTAAACAGCACCATTAAATTAGTTGAGCTCCAACAGTCTCCTTTAGGAAAGGGATTTACAGCGCAGTTTCTGGAAACATTAGTCAGTGTGGTGTGATAAGCAAGTAGGCTTCATTTTTTGGGGTGTAGCACACCCTGTGCATGTCCTCACTATCTGCCTTAGCAAAGAACAAGCAGGCACGTTTCACCGGCAGCCCTGATAGAACCAATCCTATCAGAAGAAATCACTGGGCTAAGAAAATGTCAGAAAGTGTGAGTTAGCAATTTTTTTAGTGAATGGATTTTTTCCTCTTTACAACCCACTTAAGCTGTTTGACCTTCGCTATGTCGTTACTGAAGGTTAGGTATTATAATACTAATACTTCATACTGTAAATGCCCGTTTACTATCAAATGGCATATCCTATTTCTGATCCAGTGTGCTCCTTTCTTTTTTTAAAAGTATATGTTTCTTAGAAAGTAGAAATGAATAGATGAATAATCATTTTAAAGTAATGGCATTATAAGTGATTTTAAAATTTTATTCATCTAAACATTTTGTGTGCTATTATATATTTCCATGTAATGCATTATTTTTTCAATTTACAGTAAAACCTTGGATTGCAAGTAACTTGGTTTGCGAGTGTTCCGCAAGATGAGCAAACATTTCTATTAGGTTGGTGCAAAAGTAACTGCAGTTTTGGCTCATAATGGCCAAAACTGCAGTTACTTTTGCACCAATTTAATACATTTTAACTTGGTAACCGAGCGATGTCTTGCAATGCGAGTAGTTTGTTTCCGGAACAAATTATGCTCGCGAACCGAGGCATTACTGTATTTTTCAATTGCAGTTGACAAACAGTATTATATAGTTTCAGGTGTAAACATATTGATTAGACATGTGTACTATACCTTATGAAGTGATTACCCTGGTAAGTCTTGTACCCATCTGAAACCATTCAGTTATTTACGATATTATTGACTATATTCCCTATGCTGTTCTTTACATCCCTGTGACTATTTTTTATAACTGGCAATTTTTACTCCTTAATCCCTTCACCTTTTTCACCAACTCCTCAAGTCCCCTCCCATCTGACAGCTATCAGTTCTCTGTATCTATGAGTGTTTTGTTCTTGTTTTTAGATTCCACATATAAGTGAAATCATACAGTATTTGTGTTTCTCTGACTTATTTCACTTTGCATGGTACCCTTTAGATCCATCACAAATGGCAAGATTTCATTATTTTTTATGGTAATATTCCATTGTATATATTTATACACCCAATCTTTATCCATTCATCCATCAATAGACACTTAGATTGCTTCCATATCTTGGCTATTGAAAATAATGCTGCAGGGCCGGTCGAGTGGCGTGTTGATTAAGAGTTGGCTTGGACGCCAGCTCTGAGCATCAGGGCCCAGTTTGGATCCCAAATGAGGGCCAGTGATGCTGCCCTCTACAGCTAAGATGGTGAACAACAGCTGGAACTGGAGCTGGGCTGCCATGAGTCGCCAGCGACGGCATAGGCTGCAGTGAAGCTGCAGTGGGCGGCCATAAGCTACCCGTGAGCGGCTGGCAGCCAGCGTGAGCTGCCAAGAGCCGCCGTGAGCAGCCGTCCAGTGGCCGGTGACCGATCTGCCTCACTTGGGAAGAGCACAATGATAATACCAACATGGGCCAGTGAAGCGACGTCCTCCACAACTAGACTGAAGAACAAAAGGACAGCAACATGTCTGTTCCCCTTCCTTGATTCCCGAACGCTGTTCACCTCCCCCAATTCCCCAATAAAATCTTAAAAAAAGAAAGAAAATAATGCTGCAGTGAACATAGGGGTGCATTTATCATTTCAAATTAGTGCTTTGGATTTCCTCAGATAATACACAGAAGTAGAATTGCTGGGTCATAAGGTCGTTCTATTTTAACATTTTGAAGAACCTCCTTATGGTTTTCCACAATGGCTGTACCAATTTACATTCCCACCAACAGTGCATGAGGGTTCCTTTTCGATACATCCTTGCCAACACTTTTTTATTTATTTATTGATGATAGCCATTCTGACAGAAGTGAGGTGATATCTCATTGTGGTTTTGATTTGCATTTCCCTTCTATTTAGTGATGTTGAACATCTTTTCATATGTCTATTGGCCATCTGTATGTCCTCTTTGAAGAAATGTCTATTTATGTCCTCTGCCCATGTTTTAATTTTGGAATTGTTTTTTTGTTGTTGAGCTGTATGAGTTATTCCATTCATTAAGTATCTTTGTTTTGTTGATAGTTTCCTTTTGTAGTGCAAAAGATTTTTAGTGTGATGTAGTACCATTTGTTTATTTTTTATTTTGTCTTTGCCCTTAGGAAACATCAAAAAAATTTCTAGACCAACGTCAAAGAGTTTATTGCCTGTGTTTTCTTCTAGGCATTTTATGGTTTCGGGTCTTACATTTAAAACTTTAATCCATTGAGTTTATTCTTGTATGTGGTGTAAGAAAGTGGTCTAGTTTCATTATTTTGCATGTATCTCTCCAGTTTTCCCAACACACTTACTTATTGAAGAGACTATCTTTACCCCGCTGTATATTTTTGCCTCCTTTGTCATAGATCAGTTGACAGATTGGGCTTATTTCTGGGCACTCTATTCTGTTCCATTGATCTATGTGTCTGTTTTTATGCCAGTATCATGCTGTTTTCATTACTATAGCCTTGCAGTAGTTCGATATCAAGTAGTGTGATATCTCTAACTTTGTTCTTTTTCTCAAGATTGCTGTGGCTATTCGGGGTCTTTTGTGGTTCCATATAAATTTTAGGATTATTTGTTCTAGTTCTGTGAAAAATGCCATTGGTATTTGTCATATATGGCTTTTATTATGTTGATATATTTCCTCTAGCTCCACTTAGCTGAGAATTTTTTATCATAAATGGGTGTTGGATTTTGTCAGATGCTTTTTCTGCATCTATTGAAATAATCATATGATTTTTATCCTTCATTTTGTTTATGTGGTGCATCACATTAGTTGATCTGCAGATATTGAACCAACCTTATATCCTGGGAATAAATCACACTTGATCATGATGTATGATCCTTTTAATGTATTGCTGACTTTGGTTTGCTAATATTTTGTTGAGGATTCTTGAATCTATGTTCATCAGATATATTGGCCTGTAATTTCCTTTTTTTATAGTGTCTTTGTCTGGTTTGGGTATCAAGGTAATGCTGACCTTGTAGAGTTTATGAACTTTCCCTCCTCTTCAGTTTTTTGGGATAGTTTGAGGATAGGTTATTAATTCTTCTTTGTATGTTTGGTAGAATTCACCTGTGAAGACATTTGTTTGTTGGCAGTGTTTTGATTACTGATTCAATTTCATTACTGGTAGTCTGTTCAGATTTTCTGTTTCTTCTTGATTCAGTCTTAGAAGAGTGTATGTTTCTAGGAATGTATCCATTTATTCCATGTTGTCCAATATAGTTATTGTAGAATTATCTTACAATCCTTTGCATTTCTGTGGTATTTGTTGTCACTTCTCTCTTATTTCTGATATTCTTTATTTGGGTCCTCTCTTTTTTTTGATGAATCTGACTAAAGGTTTATCAATTTTGTTTATCTTTTCATAGGACCAGCTGTTGGTCCTATGTTCACTGACCTTTTAAGTTTCTTAATTCTTTATTGTACTTATGTATGATCTTCCTATGTTTGTCTTTTAACCTTTGTACTAGTTTTAGAATTGGCTGATCCATTACTTTTACTAAGCGTTTGCCTTTGTGAGTTTTTTTCCTTTCCTATATTTTCTTATTCTGGCCTTTTCTTTTCTACCTAAAGAAGTCCCTTTAACATTTTTGTACTGCAGCTTTATTGGTGAACTCTTTTAGCTTTTGCTTGTCTGAGAAACTCTTTCTCTCTCCTTTGATTCTAAATGATAGCTTTGTTGGGTAATCTTGGCTGTAGGTGTTTCATTTTCTTAACTTTGAATGTTTCATACGAATCCATACTGGCCTGCAAAGTTTCTGTTGAGAAATCAGCTGACAGTCTTATGGGCGCTTCCTTGTACATAACTGCTTTTCTCTTGCTGCTTTTAAGATTCTTTGTCTTTAACCTTTTTTTTTTCTTTTTTAAATTATTTTTTATTATGAAATACACATTTTTTAGAATTAGTTTCAGCTGTACAACACAGTGCAACAGTTATACTTTTTACCCCTCAAAGTGACAACCCCCCTCCCCGTCTTTAACCTTTTAATTAAGTGTCTTGGTGTGCGCCTCCTTGGGCTTATCTTGTTTGGGACTCTGCAGTTGCTGGACTTGTATGTCTATTTCATTTGCCAGGTTAGGGAATTTTCAGTCATTATTTCTTCAAATGAGTTTTCAATTCTTTTCTACCTTCTCCTTCTGGACCCCTATGACACGAATATTGATATGCTTGATATTGTCCCAGAGGTCCCTTAAACTATCCTCATTTTTTTTGGATTTTTTCTTTTGCTGTTCTGATTAGGTGTTTTCCTCTACCTTGTCTTCATGATCACCCATTTGATCTTCTGCTTCATCTAATCTGCTGTTAATTCTCTCTAGTGTATTTTTCATTTCAGTTATTGTATTCTTTAGTTCTGATTGGTTCTTTTTTTATATTTTCTACCTCTTTATTGATGTTCTCCCTGAATTCTTCTATTTTTCTCCCATATTCAGTGAGTATCTGTATAAACAGTATTTTGAATTGTTTATCTGGTAGATTGCTCATATCCGTTTCATTTAGTTCTTTTTCTGGAATTTTGTGCTGCTTTCATTTGGGACATTAGTCCCCTCATTTTGGCTGACTCTCTGTGTCTATGTATTAGGTAGGTCCACTGTGGATCCCAGTCTTGAAAGAGTGGTCTTATGTAGGTGTTGTTTGGGGCCAATATTGCAGTCCCCCCCTAGTCACCTGAACCTGATTCTCTAGGGGTGTTTCCTGTGTAGGTCGCATGCGCCCTCCTATTATAGTAGGGCATTGATTGCTGCTGGCACATCAGTGGGTGAGGCTTACCTTCAGGCTGACTGCCCAGCTGCAACTACAGCACATGAGCTATTGCATGTGGGCTGACCTCTCGGAGCTTAGTCCCTATAAAAAGACTGATGCCAACCAAGGCCATCCATTGGGCGTGTCAGTTGTGGTGCTGGTTGGGAGGGGATCTGGTGTGGTCTGAAGCCAGCCACTGGATGTGTTGGGTTTGGAGACTCTTGTACTGGTCTTGCAGTTGCATGGTAGGGGCTATGAAGTGATCTGTGGTTGGTCGCCACTTGTGCCAGGTTTGGAGGTGCTTGGGAGAGCTGACGCCAGCTGCCACTTATTCCAGGCCTGGGGCCAATTGGTGGTTGTTACAAGTTGAGGCCATCTGCCACTTGTGCTGGGCATAGGACTGCTTGACAGGAGCTATATAATACTTACTGAAGCAAACTTTTACTTGTGTGGTGTTTGTGGTCCTGAGTCCACAGCATGAGCTGAGAAAAGCTACTTGTGTGGAGCTGCTGAACAGGCTCAGGACTGGTACGTGCATTGGTTGGGGCTGGGTCTCAAGGAATCACCAGGCAGGGCAAGCCGTGTTATCCAAATTAATGGAAAGCATAGATTTGGCACCTGCCTGCTGTGGGCCAGCTAGGTGGTAGGAGAGCTCACAAAGTAACAATGGTGCCTACCAGCACTTCCATCCCTGGGGAAAGTTCCCCTAACCCCCTGCCCTCCAGCCCTCACCCTGAAGTGAGTCATTTTAGATTCTCATATATGCCCCTGGTGCTTCTCAAGCTGCTGCTCCAGTTTGTTCCACAGCTCTTTCTCTGGGATACGATACCCGCTGGTTTTCCCAGCCAGATGTGGGGACTTCTCTCCCTGGCACTGGTGCCTTGGGCTGGGGAGCCTGGTGTGGGGCTGGGATGCCTTGCTCTCCCGGGAGTCAGTTCCAAAGCGGAGACATTCCTCCCAATTCTTAATTGCCACCCTGTAGTTGTGGGACCTGCTGGTTCTGTCTCTGCCCGTCCTACCAGTTTTGACACAGCTTCTTCTTTATATCCTTGGTTCTAGGAATTCTGTTCAGCTCGTATTCTGGTGGTTTCCAGTGATGGCTGTTTTGCAGTTTCTTGAAATTTTAACGTGGTGGTGGGAGGATGCAAGCTTAAGAGTACTCAGCCATCTTGACTCCTCCCCATGGGTTTCTTATTAACATTTATTCACCCTAGAATATGAGCACAAAATGCCCCCCCCCCCCCCCGCCCTATCTCCACCAGTGTTCTTGAAGATGATTATCCCAAGCTGGATTTAAGATAAATCTGGGGCAGCCAAGTCACAAGAGAATAAACTAATAGTTTGAATCCTAGCTGCCATTTACTGTGTGCAATGGGCAGGCCCCTTCATTCTTCTAGGCCTCTTGTTTTAAGCAGAGAGTACACTGTTGTGTGGATTAAAGAAAGAAATGTTACAGCACCTATTTGTAACAGTACCTGGGAAAGAGTACTTTTTAAAATAATCAGCCCGTGGCTTATATGAATGTTCAAAAAAATATTTATTTATAAAAAATACAATGGGATAAGTTTATGCTGAGAAATGCGGCAATAAATACAGTTGAAGAAAACAGCAACTCTACATTGATGATACATTGGCACCAACAGGAAGAACACATGCACCACCCAGACCTACGTGTCTGAAGGCTGATTTTGTACA